CCGACAGATAATATGGCCGAGGGAGAGCCCGATTTCAGCTCTCTGCCTCTGACTGATAGGTGGGTACACAAGGTGCGTGGCCGTCCTGTTTATTCTCATGCTCTAGTTACAGCTGCCTAATCCGCTCTGCCGCGTGTATGTAGGTTTGGAAAGTCCGCAAGCAGGCATACGAGGATGCGGCGAAACAGTTCGAAGTTACTCCCGACGAACACGATCCCGTCTTTCGACCCTTCAACCAGGATCCGAGTTTGTGGAAGGGTGCCGTCGCTGACTCAAACGTTGCAGCCCAATCAGACGGTATTGCCGCATTCTGCGCGTTCCTCAAATTCGGCGGCAGGGAAGGCTGCGTACGTTCGCGAGGCCATGTCATTACCCCCATAGTTGAGAAAGGCCTTGTGTCCACGAGGCCCGCTACCAAAGCTTCCGCCGTTGAGGCCCTTTTGCTCCTCATCGAGCTTGATGTCGCTGGCCCTGTTGTTGAGGACATCTTGCCAGCCATATCCGCAAAGCAGCCAAAGGTCATCGCTGCTGCCCTAGCTGCCCTCACCACCATCTTCCACGCTTACGGTTGCAAGGTCGCCGACCCAAAACCCGTTCTCAAGATCCTACCAAAGGCCTTCGGGCACGCTGACAAAAATGTACGAGCCGAAGCCACCAACCTAGCTGTCGAATTCTACCGATGGCTGAGAGACGCCATGAAACCCATGTTCTGGGGCGATCTGAAACCAACCCAGCAATCGGATCTGGAAGCGCAGTTTGAAAAGATCAAAGCAGAGCCATCACCTAGACAGGAACGGCTCCTGCGATCCCAGCAGGCCGCCATGGCTCGCGCACCGCCGGCTGGCCCCGAAGGCGAAGACGGGGGTGACGAAGACGGTGCCGACGAACCAGCCGAGGTTGACGCATTCGACCTTGCTGAGCCTCAAGACGTCCTATCTAAGGTTCCAGCAGGCTTTCACGACAACCTTGCGTCTTCAAAATGGAAGGACCGCAAAGAGGCCCTCGAGGCACTCCACGCTGTGCTCAATGTGCCGAGGATCAAAGATGGCGACTTTAACGAGATCAACCGCGGCCTGGCCAAGTGTATGAAAGACGCCAATATTGCCGTCGTCACGCAGGCCGCTCAGTGCACCGAGGTACTCGCAAAGGGCCTCCGAAAGAGCTATGGAAAGTACCGGTTAGTTGTTATGGCGCCGATCATGGAACGGTTGAAGGAGAAGAAGCAATCGGTTGCCGATGCGCTAGGTGCTGCGCTGGATCAAGTCTTTTTAGCCACGAATCTATCCGAATGCCTTGAAGACACGCTATCGTTTCTCGGCCACAAGAACCCGCAAGTCAAGGAGGGAACTATGAAATTCCTCGTTCGTTGCCTGCAGACAACGCGAGAGCCTCCCAGCAAGCCGGAGGTTGCCAGCATAGTTGAAGCTGCCAAGAAGCTGCTCGCCGAGTCGAGCGAAGCCTTGAGATCCGGCGGCGCCGAGGTCCTTGGCACGGTCATGAAGATCATCGGCGAGCGTGCCATGAACCCTCACCTCGAAGGACTAGACGACATCCGGAAGAACAAGATTAGAGAGTACTTCGAGAAGGCCGAAGTGAAGGCCAAGGATAAGCCAAAACCATCGCCGGCCCCTGTAACACGGGGTCCCCCCGGGGCTCCGAAGAAGCTTGTCGGCGGCGGTGCTAAGAAGGGCCCCGGGGGCACCAAGAAAGCCGCTGCTCCTCCCCAATCTGCACCGGAACCCGCTCCTCCTGCGGCCCAACCTGCCTCCCGGGCCGGCCCAGGCAGCAAACTCGGTATGCCAAAGCCTTCTGGCTTGTCTGGGCTGAAGGCCCCCCAAAGACGTGTCGGCCCCCCAGGTGTCTCATCCCCCCGCAGAGCGCCCGCCACCGCAGCTCCTCCACCGCCTACCGTAGAGGACGACGAGCCGCCAGCAGTATCGCCTCCTCCGAAACCCCGGATCGGACTTGGGCGAGGTGGTCTTGCAGCCCGATCTTTGGTAAAGCCTGCAGCTCCCCCTACTGCAGCACCATCGGCACCCTCACCACCTTCATCAAGTGGGCTCACAGCTATAGAGCGTACAGAACTCGAAGAGCTACGTGCAGCAAATGAGCGGCTCAGCAAGCAGGCAGATGAGATGCGACATGAGCGAAGCAGGCTGATATCAGAAGTGCAAGAGCTCAAGAACCAAAATGCCGGACTTATCGAGGACCACACAAGAGATGTGCTCAGCATCAAGGCCAAGGAGACACAGTTAGTCAGGGCGAGAAGCGATGCAGAAGCAGCCGAGCAAACAAACGAGAGGCTCCGGCGCGAGCTGGAGCGCCTCAAGCGCGCTCTCAGTAGGGCAGAGGGGCTGGGCGTCTCTGGAGGCATCGGGAGTCCGGGTGTCGCCAGCCCTACACCCGATGACATGGGTATCTACCGCGACGGTGCAAGTTATTCGGGTGCCAGGGCAAACAGGATGAGTTTCACCAGCACCCTATCGGAGGAGAAAGAAAACGGAGATACACCGCACAACTATCCAAGGAGCAAGTTAAGCCCAGAGTTGAGATATGGTAGCGGATCAAGTGGAAGAGGCAGTCCTGCTCGCGGGTTCAGGAGCGCGCCTATAGAGGAGGGGGTCGGGCACGGTGCAGGATCAGGGGCTAGTTCGACAACTGGCGGGACCGGCAGCAACGGTGTCGAGAGTTGGAAGAGGGCAGCAGAAGTCACGAGCCAGCTCAAGGCTAGGATAGAGCAGATGAAGGTAAGATGGCCAAAGATCAACCTCCCCTCTTTCTTTCCTTGCCTATTTGACAGCTAACACACAATGACAGGCCAAACAAGGATTCAACCGACCATGAAGTTGGTCAGCCTATCACATAAGTCTTGTCACGTGAGGAAACAGTGTTTTGCTAGGAGCACGATGGTAGTCCAAAAGTACTAAGGTAGTAAGGAGTGAGGTGTTCTTCTGCTTGGTCGAGTGCATTTCCCGGCGTCGGATTACATACCCCAGTCTATTTTCGTTCGCCAACGAATTGAGGTTCAGAGTTACTTACCATGACAATCATGCTAGTCTTAAATGACCCATTGCTAAGGATGGTGTATCTATGAGAGCATGTATAATCATAAGAGTATTTGTTCGATTGATAATGCAATGCAGTTGGGTGTATTTCGACTGCCGCCTCTTTTCCCCCTATAATCTGCTATGGTGGTACCTACATAGATACCTAGGTTAGGTACCAAGTATCTATCGGATTTTCAGGATAGCCTTGCCAAAGTTTTCGCCTTTAAGCATGCCAACAAACCCTTCGGCAGCTCTGTCGATGCCCTCAGTGACGTGGAGCTTGGCCTTGAAAGATCCGTCGGCGATCCACTCCTGAACTTTTTGTTGGTGTTCCTCAAAATATGCGGGTCCAAATTCTGGCTGCCCAACGAGAAAACCTTGCATCGTTATGAGCTTCGTGATGAGGTAGAAGAGGTACTTGACGCCATATCTCTGGTCAGGCGGCTTGTTATAGCCCGAGATCTGCACTTTAATTAGCAGGGAAGCTGAATCTATCTGTTTGGGCTTCAGGCATCTCGCACCATTCCGCAAACCGGAATCCGTCCTCGGGTATTCATATTGGAGATGGCGGCATCAAGTTGTTCCCCTCCGACATTCTCAAAATATATGTCGATACCTTCAGGCGCAAGACGCGGGAGCGCGTCAAACGCGCTCTCCTTTCTGTAATTGAAGCCGCCGTCAAAGCCGAGCTCCTTTGTGATATAGTCCAACTTCTCATCGGAACCAACAGAGCCGATGACCCTGAGTCCCTCATTCTTCGCAACCTGGCCGACAACCTGGCCAACCGCACCAGCAGCCGAACTGATGAAAACAGTCTCCCCTTTCTGAGGCTTCCCAATCACATGAAGACCAGAATATGCAGTCAAACCAGGCATGCCGAGAGGACCGAGGAACATGCCAAGGTCGAGACCTCGCGAGTTTCGAACGCTGCGCATACGGCTGGCCGAGGGATCTGGCACCTGGGCATATTCTGCGATGGGTAGAAACGCGATTACAAGTTCTCCTGCCGCGTAAGTCGGGTCGTCTGATTTGAGTACCCGAGCGACTGTATCGTTTATGACAGGCCCATTGATCTCAAAGGCCGGCGAGTAGGACTTGATCTTGGCATCGCGCATCTTGTTCCTGAGATAGGGATCGAAGGAAGCGCTGAGTATCTCGACGATCAAGCCCCCCTTAGGAGGATCAGCGTCTAGGTCGATGGGTCTATTCTCGACGACAAGATGTTCGCCCGGTACCGGAAACCCGGTTGGGATTTTCTTGAAGATGAGGGTTTTGTTAGACGTCATAATTCGAATCGCTCAGATCAAAGGTTCACCGTCTTATTAGTTGGTACGACTGTAGGTGAACCAACCCAAAAGTTGCGATGAGAGCCAAGTTGCAATCCGCGACCAGGCGATATTTTTTTAACAAACAAAAATGACAATGACGTTTGCTTTATCTCGATGATTCCGGTCGAGCGGCTACATACAATCAATCTACGAGTGTACATACATACCTTACCTACCTATGTACAGTGGGTGTAGGTTGTGTAGCATTAAGAGGCGTTCTGTACTTCGTAGGAGCCTAGCAACCACTACTTGATTTCGCCATTGCTTAGTACTTCATCTTCATTGGACATGCAAGCCGAGGGGAGCCTACATGAATATAGCGAGGTACGTTCCCAGTTTTTTAACAGATGCAACTTGACACGGCCGGCATACGTGTAGGTACGTGTAAAGACATCATGATAAGAGTTTCATGTGGCTGGAAAATTCCATGTATTAATGGTAGGCTACCCCTCATACGAAGTAATCATTGTTTGTTTGCTTCGATGAGGTGATGACGTATGTACATAGGTATGTACCTATCTAAGGCATATCAGAAGCGCACTATGTATGTTTGGAGACATATATTGAAAGACCGACAAAATGTGTCAATTATCTAATCCTTGCAAGGGAGGTTAGTTTCACAAAAGGTCCTATGGTGCAGTGGTTAGCATGGTGCTCTTATACAATCTTGTCTTGCGTGAGATATGCATAGGTCGTGGGTTCAATCCCCACTAGGACCAGGCCTTTTTGCATCAATCAAGTACGGAGGACTCGAGGAGTGTGATGTGTAAGTAGACAATGCATGTGAATTCTGTACATCTATATATATATACATACATACGTTGCAAAGCGAAAATTGTGCGCAGTATTTATACCATTTGCTATCAACCCACATCACAAAACATTACATCGAATGGTATAGAGACTTTCTTTTGGATCTAGTATTGACCTTTGAGGAAAATCACTGCTGATTGTATATACATTATTCTTCGACCGTGCCCCTTGCGTGATGAGTCATGACTATTAGAAGAGATCAGGGACAAACCGTGCTCGTATCAATTATATCCCTATCTAGTCGCCTGGGTATATATGAATGAAAACCTCCTAATAAGGTGGAAGTAGCCCTCCCTCATTGGACGAACACAACTTTCTGCTAGATGGACAATGATTGGATTACTCAGCGATTATCATCAAGGTTTGATTCAAGCAGGAGATATGTTAGCCCGGCCAAGATAGGAGGGACGGGCAAGGTATTTGAAGGAGAGCAAGACGCTGGCTTTCCTCCAAGACAAGATCGTAGCTAGCAAGATTTACCCTCCCATTATATTCCACCTCACAATCTCGAGAGTGAACATAGCCTCTAAGCCAGTGACGTTGGCTGAAGCAAGAAACAACAAGATGCCATCGAAGATGAAAGCATTGGTCACCGTCGAGACCGGGACCGCGTCGGTCACTGAAGTAAACATTCCCAAACCCGAGGAGGGCGAGATACTGGTTAAAGTACAATACGCCGCGCAGAATCCGACGGATTGGAAGTCCATGAAGTCGGCACCTCCAGGTCGTATCGTCGGCTGCGACTTTGCCGGCACCGTTCAAGACAGTAACGGCTCCCACTGGCACCATAGACAGCGTGTCGCCGGTTTCGTACAGGGATGCTCCGTCAAGCCATTACGGGGAGCCTTTGCCGAGTACTTGGTCGTAGAGGCAAGCCTGGTCTACCCCATCCCAGATCAGATATCTTACCAAGATGCCGCTGTCATCCCGCTGGCCTTTGCCACGGCTGCGCAAGCCATCTTTGCAAGGCTGAAGCTTCCCGAGCCGAGCAAACCAGCCACGAAAGACTTCCCTTTCCTCGTCAATGGCGGCACATCAAGCGTCGGAAAGTATGCCGTCCAACTCGGTAAATTATCCGGCGCCTTCGTCGTTGCTACCGGGTCGGCTCGAAACCACGCTCTTCTAAGATCTCTCGGTGCCGACGCTGTTGTCGACTACAGGGACCCCGATTGGCCCGAACAAGTGCGCAACCTCACACACGATGGTCTCCAGCTTGCTTTTGACTGCATTTCCGAAAACAGCACGCCAGAGGCTGTCGCTCGAGCACTCTCGCCTACCAAAGGTGGCCACGTCGTGACCATCCTTCCCGTGAATGAAATCAGAAACAAACTCGATAATAAGAAGGTGAAGCTTGAGAGCACCATCGTCTATACGGTTTTCGAGCGTCCGATCAAGTACGGTACGTTTGACAACTGCGGAGAGCCAACACCGCACGACAAGGCGCAGTGGGAGAAGTATCTGGCTATGCTGCCAGAATTTCTGTCGAGCGGTAAGCTTAAACCGAATGGGGTCAGGGAACTTGGTGGTATCAACAACATCCTAGGCGGCTTTAGGAAACACGAAGAGGGGTGGGTCAGCGCCGAGAAGTTGGTATATAAGATATCGTAGGCGTCCAGCCAAGAATCATGTCAAGAAACAGATAATACATAGTAAATAAACATGGAGTCTTACACTATTTCCTTGTCACATTCACCCACGGTCAAGCCTTCGCTTGTATCCAGAGGTTCATCGCCGTCTGATCCTTTCTCTTATTGAGGACCTACGTAATTGGGAGACCATGGTGCTCCAAACAAGACGGGAAGTTTTGATCATCGGTATCGGGAATAGCATTGTCTCGAAGTTTTTTTTCTTCTACTTTTTTTTTTTTTGGGTATGCGGCGAGCACGATCAAGTCGCTGCTAGTTTGGGCCAAGTCTATCGGTATCTTCTAGCAAGCGAAGTCTCTCTCAAGTCATGCTACCTTCTTCTCATCCGCCTGTTTCGCCGACGGGAATGGGTTGTATGTACCCCTGTCAGCCCGAAGCCTCCGCAGCTTCTCGACAGCCTCGTTCAGCAACACAGGCTTGCCCCGATCCTGCGTGGATGTGTCATCTCGGTACCGCACATTCACTTGTCGGCCTTTCATCTCCTCATCTCCAACGACTATGTTCGACGATCACCAACCATGTTAGCGAATGGCTCTCTCCAGTTGCAGAGCGAGGGGTTACTGTGGAAAGGGGGCATATAATACGCACCCATTATGAAGTTGTATTGCGCTAGCTGGGCGCTTCGCACCTTCTTGGGGAGCGTGTTCCCGGTGGTGTCGATATCGACAAATATCTTCTCCTTCTTAAGAATCTCCTTGACTTCCTGAGCGTATGGAACATATCCCATCCCCACAGGTATAACCATGACTTGGCGTGGGCTCAGCCAGAAAGGCCACTTGCCTGCGAAGTGCTCGATGAGAATACCTGCATATGGTTTGTATGAGCAAATATTTCCGTTGTGCTTTTTTTCCCGAAACTCTTACCCATGAACCTCTCTATAGAGCCTGCCATGGCGCGGTGGATGATGACCGGACGAGCACAGCCAGGGCTTAGAGGCTTAATCACCCTTCCCCGTTTAGCGCCGCTGTCGCTTGTGCTTGAGCCGACATCGGCTGTTTGGGCGTCCTTGACCTTGTCACCAGATGCGTCTGTAGATGGCTCGTCTTGCTTGGACTTGGCAGTAGGCATCTCAGCTGTGACATATTCAAGACCAAAGTCTAGCTGAAATTAGCAAAGACACGTAATGCAGGGGATATATATGATGGAGAAACGCATTACTCTCGGGGCCCATAAAGTCGAGCTGGATTGTTGCGCATTGCCATTCCTGGAGCTAGGGTCAGTTCACGGCCCGAAAAACAAAAGGGGCGATTACCATCGCCTTGGACGAGAAAAGGTAGACTCACTCGATTCAGGCAGTCCAGGATCTTTATATCGATCTATTCCACAGTCAGCATGGTCTGAACATGGCCCAATATGAGTTTAGCATATTTAATACCTTCGGTCCGTAGAACGCGCCGTCGCCCTCGTTCAAAGTCCACGATACACCACCGGGGCCAGTTGCAAAGTCATCTAATGCTTCTTTCAGCATGCCTTCGGCCTTGTCCCATGTCTCAATTTGTCCCATGAACTTGTCGGGTCTGGTAGACAGTTGAAGCTTGAAGCTGAACCCCAGTAAGCCATACATCTCGGAGAGGAAATCAAACAAGTCGGTGATCTCGCCAGTAACCTGGTCCAGACGGCAAAAGATATGGGAATCATCCTGCTGAAAACGGCGGACGCGGGTAAGACCAGAGAGTGCGCCGCTCGCCTCGTTCCGATGTAGGACGCCAAAGTCGGCTAAGCGCAGTGGCAACTGGCTGTACACCTTTGGGGAGTGTCCGAACATGAGGAAATGGGCCGGGCAGTTCATGGGCTTCAACCCCCATTTCTCTTTTTCCAAGTCCATTACGAACATATCCTCCTGGTAGTATTCCCAGTGGCCGCTGATCTTCCAAAGCTCCGAGTTGAAGATGTTGGGAGTAATCACTAACAGAGGCGGATATCATTAGTAAAGAGTGACAAGAAATATAAACAGCCCGTCGAGGTAGACCAACCTTCTTGGTAGTCTCGCTTGTGATACTGGTCACGAATATACTCGAGGAGGGTATTGTATATCCTAGTACCGTGAGGCAGGAAAAATGCCGAACCCGGGGAGAGTTCATGGAACATGAAGAGCTCTTGTTCTCTGCCGAGCTTCCGGTGGTCTCGCTTGGCGGCTTCTTCTATAAACTTCTTGTGCTCTGCCATTTTCTTCTTGTCAGGGAATGACACGCCATATATACGCTGGAGTGAGTCGTTCTCCTGGGATCCCAGCCAATAGGACGCCGAGTTCTTCATGATGGAGAAGGCCTCGATACGACCGGTATCAGGGACGTGGGGACCACGACACAGGTCAATCAGTGGCCCGTTACGGTATACGGTGGTGGAGGTACCGTCAGGAATCTTGGTGGAAATAATGTGTTGCTTGTATTTGTTGTAGCTGAACATGTCGAGGAGATCCTCCTTGGTGACTTCTAGGCGCTCGAATCGCTGGCGCTCCTTGACGATGTCGGTGACGATGCGCTCCAGTGGCGACCAATCGGTCTGCTGGACAGCAGCGCCACCAGGGAGCGCCATCTCGTAGTAGAAGCCGTCATCGATGGGAGGTCCGATGCAGAGGGAACAACCGAAGCGTCTCTCGCAGGCCTCGCCGAGGATGTGGGCGGAGCTATGCCAGAAGACCATCTTTCCCTGTTCGTCATCGAAGTTCAATAGCTCGAGTTTGCAGCTCTGCTCGAGCGGTCTGTCCAAGTCCCAAAGCATGTTCTTGTCGCCATCTAGCCTCGCAACGATGGTGCGCTTATACAAGCTGTTGGAGATTCCCCTTGCGATGTCGCCCGGCGTTGTCTGCCAGCTGGTGCCGACTTTGACAGAACCATCTGGCAGGGTGATGGTAATCTTCTCGCGTGGCTTCTTGCCCAAATCTTCGTCGTACGTTTTCTTGAGGCGATCGAACAATTCGAGACGTGTCTGGAGGAATTCGGGGGGAGGCGTCATCTCAAAAGGACTGGCGTTGTTATCGTCTACTCCAGCATTGCTCTTCTTGTCCTTCTTCGTGGGCTTTGAACCACCAACCATTACTGGCTTAACAACCCCGGACCCAACAACGGCAGCCATCTTTTTTTTTGAAGGGGAGAGGGGGGGCAGTATTTTTTTTTCAATACGAGGAGGGAAATATGACTTATAGAGAAGGTTAATTGTAACTGTTTTTATAAATATATGAAAGCATATTATCATTATTTTAATGGGCGAGGCTGGTCGCGCAGTTATCGTTCATTTAACCGCGCAGTAATGTGGCGGGG